CAGACGAAACATTGAAATGACAGCAAAGGGAGGAAGGGAGTTATAGCTTAAGAGATATTATTACCAAAAATGATTTTTATTTTTATAAAACATGAAAAACTGTCCTTGGTAGAGAAAGGATATACGAGACCCAAATACCTTGTTTAAGAGCACCACCCTCTCCTTGGCATGGTGCATTTATTCTTCGACAAATTACAAAACAGGGGGTGGGAAGCCAAGGCAGTTTTAATGCTGCAGTTCTCTTTTCCTCTCATTTAAGTGGGAGCTTGAGTGATTTGGCGGCTGGATCTGGGAACCCGCCTGCCAAACTCCACCTGCCGAAGGGACTCGCTCCAGCTGTTTCCAAGAGCTCCTCTTCTGCAAAGGTTTATCAGGGAAAAGAGAGCTAATAAAAAAACATGATGAATCAGGAAGCAGAGGAGAGCCGAGGAGCTCGCTATAATGAGCCTCCTGTTCTGGAGCCCACCCCAGCTCTGCCCAAACACCCACCTGGATGTGAGCTTAAGGAGGGTCCCGTTGGGCCATTAAGGCTGGCTTGAGCTCCTGTTGCTTCCCCTAGCAAGTGGTACCTCTAAGTAGCTGAAGGGATTCATTGAGACAGCAGGGCTAGCATTAATGGTACAGGCAATTCTGTGTGTGTGTGTGTGTGTGTGTGTGTGTGTGTGTGTGTTTTACTAGGGATTGAACTCAGGGCCTTTGCATTGAGCTATATCCCTAGTCCTTTTTTTTTATTGTTATTTTATTTTGAGATCCACCTTCACTAAATTGCCCATGCTAGACTTGAACTTTCAATCTCCTACCTCAGCCTCCCACAGTGCTGGAATTACAGGCATGTGCTACTACAGTGCAGTTAATCCTAAAGCTCAGGTTCACGCAGCTTGAGCAGGTGGTGGTAAGGAGATCGTGGGAGTGCGTTCTCAGTAGTTCTCAGTTCCCCTGTCCCGAGATGGCTGTGCCTCAGCAATGTGGCAATTTTACAAAGTGAAAGGCACATACTTTAATAGAAGTTAGTTCCTAAAGCAAGCTCTACGTCTAATCTTCCTCCCAAGACTCGATGGTATGCTGTAATAATAGAGGGAAACATGCCTTGGGATACTGGTGGGGGAGCACTGTGGGTCCCCAGGTGTGGCTGTGTTCCTGTCTTTTTTTCCGAGTATCCTACCAAGCCACTGAACAGACTGTTTTTTTTTCAAAACAACAACAAAAAAAACAGACTGTTTTTTAATGATGGTTTTTGCATATTCTCTTTTGAGTGTGAGCCTCTAAAGAACAGGACAATGAGTCTTCATCTTGTCGTTCCCCAAATTCAGCACAGCGTGAGGACAAAATAGGCGTTCAATAAGCATTGCTGAATGAATGAACGAGCTTCAACACCTGGACCCTCGTTTTGCAATGTAGATGCCATCCCAAGAGATTTTCAAGAGTGATTGTCACATAAATGAGTTTTGCTCTACCTGAGACCTTCAAACTGCATCTCTGGAAATGTTTGCCACAGGCTCAGATATACCAGGACGTGTGGAGACCCTGACTCCTAAACTTGCTATCACACAAGAAAGAGGCTTCCCTGCATTACACCCCAACCCCATTTACTGGATCATTTGCAAATATTTTCTAGGTATTGACTATGAGTCACGCCTGTGTTACGGGTAGGAAGATGACAGCATAACCCTATTCTCCAGATACTTGTATTTATCAGTTGGTGGATGACACTGGAATAAAGGAAAATAGAGATAATAAATAACTTTCATCACATTAGTCACCATTTCTGTACCTTGCTACAAATTTCCCTTTAATAACTTCATCATGGATTTGACAATGAGTTACACACCATGCATACCCCACACTCTGCAAACCTGTTCATGCCTGGGACCAGGGGATCAGGTTTCCAGCCTTGAGTCAAGCTATTTTAGGGCAAAGGAGAGTGGGCCTCTGTCTGCTCAGCACCTAGGAAAACGAAGATCTGTGTGGTACGCATCCATTCATTCATGTAACAAAAGTTTATCGAATGTCTGTTTTGTTCTAGCATTGTGCTTGACCTGGGGAATGACAAGATAAATGTGTTGTGCTGTCGTTTTAACAGGCTCACACTCAGAAGAAAATTAGCCAAAACCATCATCAGAAAACAGCGTATGCAGTGACTTGCTAAGCAAAAGAGCTTGAGGTGATCAGGGAAGACCTCCGGGAGGAAGTTTATTTCATTGAACAATGAAGCAATTGCCTGAAATCTCCTTGCTCCATGCAGATCTGAGAGGGCAGAGTCAGTGTCAGCGGGGCTCAGCTTGGCATTCCCATCTCTCTGTAGTTGATACTTGCCGGCAGTTTAGGTAGAGAGAGTCTTCTAGTGGAGGGGCGAAGAGCATTTGAACCAGAAAATATGCATGAAAATAGAAGCACAGGCCCAGAGAGCAGACCTCGCTCCTCTGCTTAGTCTAGAGAGGGGCGGGGAAGGCGCAGGGACCCGGAGTGGATGTCTATGGCCGGACTCCTGCCAGCAGACACCGGGTTTGTCCAGCACCAGCATTTGTTTAAAATCTGTTTGGCTCTGCACACCACAATTCCTCCCAAGCCACCACGGCTCCAGAGGGTGATCCGCCTCGTCCATCCCCACGTCTCCCAAACACAGGCAGGTGAAATACTCTTAGCATAAATGGACGCTGAACAGATGGCGTTTGTCCTTCCAAAGAATCAAGAATTTTGCACATTTCCTAGGGAAGTGTGTGGTTTCTTGCAAGCTGACTCCCTTCCTTGCCTTACAAACCACCCAGCTTGTTTGACTTGCTCTCTTATTTTCCTTCTCTGAGCACATTCCCCCTCATCTGAAACACACCACAAGGTGCACTTTTGGAAAACAAGCAAGAGCTTTCTTCGTCTCCCCTGTCAATCCCCTGCTTCCTCCGCACGGCCCCGGGCAGACTTCCTGGGCCCAGCCCAACATTGGCTTTTCCACCTCTCCTTGGCAGGTTTCAAGATTTTCAAACACGGGGAAAACAGGTATTTCCCAAGACAGCTTCTACATATGTGGCAGGGATCTCTTTTTAATAAGGGCTTTCAAAAGCAACCTTCTGCTTCTGAGCTTTGCAAAACGCTGCTCTATAAAAAGTTAGCGAGCCCCCTCACAGCAAGGCTCGTTAGCTCCCCTCGCCATTCGCTTCCTGTTAATTCCGTGATTAAACATTTTGCCCCCAACTATACAAGGCATTAGATGAGAATAGAGCAATCCTGCCACGAAACCGTGCACATTTAGAAAGAGGGTTTTTTTTTTCTTTCCTTTCCCCCCCTCTTTCTCCACACAAATAAGAGATTTACAGTAATTAATGCCATTTAGTTTAATCTATAAATGTTTGAGGAAGTGATGTTATTTGTTTTAAGTACTACTCTCAGCGAGAAAATGCAGAGTCCCCTCCAATTTCTGACTTTATGCTCAAGAGCTAATGAACTGAATTCTTAGTAAACATTGGCAAAAGATGCAAATGAACAGATAGAGACTCCAAAAGCAGAGGGGCACAGGAGAAGGAGCTAATTTTACACAATTGACTTGGTAACCTTTTTGGATCAGTGGAATTAGAGACTGATTAATCAGCCATGATTAGCATTCATTGAAGCTTTTGACACTGGTGCATTGTTTGTCATTGTTTTCTTCCTCGTCTTCCTTCCTTCCTTTTTAAAATGTCTTTTCTCTTTTCCACTCCCTCTGGCCCCTGTTTTTTTTTTTTCTCTCCTGGGGTTAACAGTCTCTAATACATTTAACAGCCAGTCTATCATCCTGGATGGGTCAGAGCTGGTCTTTATGGACTTTTAAAATTAATACTAGACAGTTCTCTCCTGACATGCCCTTGCTTCTGCGGCCGTGCTCGACTGTTTAATTGTAGAGGTGGCCTCTTGTGGCCACATGCTCCTAATGTTTAGCAAGGGTTGGAAATATGGATGTTAGGAGAAAAACTGGCAGATGGCTGACAAGGCATTTTTACTCATAACACACCAGTAAAACTTTAACTCAGAAGATTTAGTGCGAGAGCGTTCCAGCCAGCAAGCTGCAGCCATATGCAGATTTTTTTCAAACTTCTAAACTGATGGTTTTGCAAAGTGTGCATAAGCAGCCTTTATTGATTATGATGTTAAAAATTGAAAGCGTCAGTATCATTTAGCTCGAGACAGTTTTAAAGGAAAAATGAACATTCGTTTTCATTATGAACTACCGAAAGGCCAGGGGCTGGTGAGGTCCACATTCATTATTTCTTAAATTCCAGAGAGGGATTCTTTCGAGTAGGTGTCTTTTCAAAAAATAAAAAAAATAGAGTGCACTTGAAGGAAATGAATCAAGCTGCACTTCACTAATTCAAGGTGAGGTTACAGGCAGCTCACCAGCATGACTCGTTGGCTGGTTGGGAGGATCATGGCCCCTGGACTGCTCTTTGCCACATGGGATGATACCCAGCTGTACTTGATGTATATTGATCTCACCCAAAATGATGTTAAATAACTCTGAGGATCTAACAGGAGCCAACAAAACTAGGGTAGGACCACAGAGGGCCTCCAGGACCTGTCCTAATTCGCCCCATGAACACTAGCACAGCTTATCTGGAAGGGTCAGTCAGCTCCAACCTGCCATCCACTCCCTGCTTCTTTGTCTGTCTGTGTCCTACTAAGTATGAAGGTGTGTCAGGTCAGCTACAGCACCGACGTGGGTGTGTGTTCCATCTGAGGACAGCATGGCACAGGATGATGCGACATTTCTTCCTCTGCTGAGTTAACGTTAAAAATGCCCAAAGGCATTTGTTTCTATTACAGCTTAATGGCTTAATATTTTCTCTTAAAATGGGAAATCATTGCTGCGTTGGAGAGAAAAAAATATCAATGGCAACAACAAAGATGAACGCATCAGGAAATCACTGTGCTCTGCACAAGCCTTCCGAGGGAGGTCTACCCAACGCTGTATGCAAGGACAGAGTCAGTCCGCTTCCTTGGGCCTCAGCACTGCTTCCTTCTATCTGCAGACACTGGAGAAAGTAGAGCCAGCAAGGATGAATCCAAAGCAAAAGCAACTCCATGATGCCCAGAAAGTGAAAGGGGCTCAACAAACCTGCCTTGTGTGGATGAACTGGAGCAGGAACCTCTGTTTCCAGGTAAGATGCTAACGGGCTGTTTGAGTCGGGAATCCTGCATTCTAAATGTTGGAGCCTAGACTTCAAGATAGGAGCTCAGATGAGTGTTGTTCCTGCATTACCTAATCTTAATATCCATCTCATTATCTCCATTGTACAGATGAGAGAGTTTATTTTGAGAAAGTCTGGGCCATTCAACTGCCAGCAGACCGGCAACCTACTCAGAATCCCAGTTAGCCAAAAGAGAGCTGTTTCTGAGAATTCCTTTCTCTCTCAGAAGACAAGAAGCACTACCATCCTGGATGATCCTTCTCATATTACCAGCATCCCACTTGTTCTCTAGAGGCACAGGCAGGCCTGCTTCTTTGCTCCCTGACTTGGGGTTAAAGGGTCTGTCATTCCAAAAAACACAGAAGTTACAAGGTGTGTGGATTTATACCTCATGCCTTCAGCCTGGAGGTCAGAGGACTCCAAGTACTGTACTGAGAGATTAAACAGATATTCTCTTCAAGATAACCATGGGTAGCATTTGCTCTAAAGAGAAATGATGCTGGCTTACAAGTTTTGTGGAAGCACTGGAGGAGTATGAAACATTTGGGTGACTGAAGCAGAAAGAGTTATAGTTATGGATCGAACCATCCTTCCTAATTGCAGAACAGTTTCCTCCTGGGCAGGAGACTCAGGTAAATCCATTATAAGAAGGTAGGGTGCATCCTAGGGACGTTTTACAAGTTTAATTACCAGCAAGTTTAATAGAGAGCTCTCACCCAGTGCCCTGACAAGTGATAAAGTAACTGGTCCAGTATCAGTCACATTCTATTTTCTGTAGGATTGGGCAGTTTGATTGCCAACAAGTGAGAACCGCCAAGAAACTGGCTCCTTTCCCTGGCTGAGGGATCTAAGGCAGGGTAAACATTTGCACAACTACAAAAGCACAGCCCTGAAATTTTTTTGTGGAAAGTTATTCTGGAGAGTGGACAGGAGTATGTTCTTTGGCATAAGTAACGTTTTGCTGGAAGCATTGTTTATCCTGCACGGGTCCCATGCAGCCTTGGTAGGACTGGGAGTAAGGAACAGAATGCTAAAATCTGTGTAGCTGAGGTTTAACTAGAGGTGTCATGGAGTACAACTCTGATATCTCCGGGCTCAAAAAACTAAACTGAGATCATTCTCATTTATGTCCAGTCTGGGTCCCAAAAATCTCCCTAGCAGGTTGGATGGGATGAGAACCAGGAGAAGCCAGAATATTCGTTCCATATCAATATGTCCCTTAACTCTTAGACAGCTCCAGGCGAATACAGGGGGTTGGGATGGACCATTTTTATTGGTCCAAAGTCCACATTAACTAATGCTTATTGGATGGTGAATTATAACAGAAACTGTTAATGTGTGGGAGAGCCACATGAATATCAAACAAATTCATTATGATTGGTGCTATTACAGTGAATACCAAATGAGTTCATAATGATGGAACAATGAAAGTGTTACCGATAGATTTTATTTCTGTAACAAATCCTCCATGTAAAAGCCCCTCCTGTAGTGTTAATTCTAATATAAGTTTGCATTTGAATATTAGCCTCATCAAGTAAATTATGTCTTTCAATAGCGCACATCACAATGCCCAGGGTTGTGTTTTGTGTTGTTTGGCTCTCTGGACACTAGAATAAGCCCCCTCACCCCACAGTTTCCAATCTGCCCATGGAGTTTGATGACTATTCCGAAGGGGTCGGTCACATTTTCCTTTGAGTGGCCAATCATTAGAAATCCATTTAGTATTCAATGTAATAGCACTAATGCAATAGGACAGGATGAGTATGAAATTCATCTTGCATTCATGTGGCTGTGGTATGTACTTCTGAAAGAGTTCCGCTCTATTTCAGCATGAGTGTAGACCCAGTTAATGGATCCTTTAAAAATAAAACACAACTACAAATGAAAGTTCAATTTCTCTGGATGGGCATTTGGAGTTTTGTGGAGTTGTAGTTAGAATGGCAAGCATTTTCCCCATCAGTTTACAGTACATAGAGTGTGCGTAACAGTGCTTCTCTGGGCCAAGGCATGGAAGGTGCAGTTGATCTGAAATATATTGATAACATGAAGGCAAGCGGAAGCTATGGAGGGTCTCTGTTGCTAACGATGTTCTAAATGGCCCAAGAAGTTTAAAATTTCAAAGTAACAAAGGGAGGTTGTATTCCTAGACCAATTTTCAGTTGAGCAAATAGCGGTACAGAGACACTGAGTAACTTATTCAATGTTTCGCAAGTAGCATAAGGAAGTAGCACATGGAAGAATCTAGAGACAAGGCTGTGGCTATCTCTGCTCTCTAGAGCTGCTGCTGAAACCATAGCTTTCCTTCCAGAGCTCAGCCAAGTTCAGACTCTCAATAAACATTTAAATG